ATGGAGCCACACTAGGTAGGGAATAGCAAGGGAGTGTGGATCATTAAGACCCCTACAATTCCACGCCACAATCTTCATATTCCTGTTGGGGGCTGATTTGGAGCAGCCTCCTCGACGAAAACCTCATTGATTCAAGAATAGGTAACTGAAGATCAATGTCCATGTCATCCCGTACTTCCCTAAAAGCCGAAGTAACTTCCTCACTTTTCTTCCTTTTATAAGACTCACACGAAGAAGAGGAGTTGTCTTGAGGTCTCTTGTTCTTACCCCTCATTCGAAGGTCCCCATCAATGTCAACTCCAAGTTCCCTTGCCATGTTGGGATCAGAAATAACTTTTGAAGCAAACCTACTTCCCACTTTTTCATCCTTGAGCCAAATAGAAAAATCACTCTTTTCGGACCACCTATGAAACCTCTTGAGTCTCTTCCTTTCAACCCACTCATAATCCGATTCACTTTATCGCATCAAATCACCTTCACAAGAGTGCGACAAATGGCCAACCGCCTCCCTTATACGCTTCTTGTTGCATGCCTCATCATCATAGTTAAATAAAGCTTTGAAATTAATAGAGCTCAAGTACGACACCGGGGTGTTAGGGGGATCAAATTCCGTGAGAGGTAGGTTCGGAAGCCCCCCTAAATCGCCGAAGACAGCCGAAGAAAAAGAGGAGTCGCAGCCCTTGAAACTCGGTTAAGTTCCTATATTTCAGTTCTTCTTGCTTGTCGAATACCCAAAGAAAGGATCGTGCTTGCTTCCATTATGCACGCATACTCGTTAGCCTCTAGTTGCTCCTCATCCTCTAACCTTCTCGGAGCCACAATTGTTGAACTTTCCCACCATTGATGCGGGATTGCAGCAAGATGCGACACCAGGTCCCTGTTATGCCCAGCCATATTTCCATGGGCTATATCATTGGGCCTTTCGAAACCAATAGGAGAGGAGGCCCATTCAGAGATACCCAGAGTATAAAATATGGTCCCTAGCCCCCCTTCCTTGTATAATTCTTTGCGGAGCTGCCGAAGATTCCCCAACCTCATAGGTTGAGCTTCTGAAGAAAGGCCGTGTTGGAGGAGGCAAGTTGCTAATTGTGTGCGCCATCGACCCCCTAGCAGCATTGGCCTGATTGGGTTTACACCATCTTCTCTCCTTTCTAAAACCTCTTGATCCCCACCTAGTTGTTGTTCCTCACAAAACATTGGAGGGTTCTCCGCATGATAGTTACCCTAATTAGGGCTAGACTGCCTCTCATGAGCAAATTCAGCATAAGGATCACCACCTAATCCTAGGCATCTTCTAGGAGAGAGCACAAGTTCCGGTCTCACCGTTTCCTCCTCCACCTCACCTAGCCCGGAATCATCCTTCGAGAACTCCTTCTCACCAGTATGAAAACCCTCACTGTCTTCGCTTTCGTGAGATGACAAAGACTTGACATACGGATGGTATTCATCAAAACCCATATTCTCCCCTAGTACCCTCCTGTACAAGGAAGGTTCCTCTTGTATATCTTGAGGACGAAGGTCTAAACCAGTATTTCAAAACCTATACAAATCTGGCAATCCACGAATAAAATTTGAATAAAATGGATATTCAGATAGCCCATATAACACTCTTATACCGTCAACCTCCACCTCGTTCAACCTCCGCCTTACTTTCCTCCTTGCAACAACTGCATGAAGGGAGCAGCGAGAGGTCGCATGTCCTGCACACCCACAAGATTTGCAAAATCTATAAATGCCTTCATACCGAAGGAAGATAAACCCATATCACTTTATTTCCTTACAGGGAAATGAAGCACCCCGGAATTAAAGGAATGGAAAGATCAATCAACATTCGAGCCCTAAGCTCTGCATGGATAGGGAGCTCATTCCCTTCCTGATCTATCTCTTCGATATATCCCACATTCCTAAGGATTTGTCTTGCCCAGCTCGAGGTAAGCTTATAAGGTAGGCTAAAGGAAGCCCATGTACCCTTACCCATATATTCGTAAGAGTAAAACTCATTTGGTGGGGTACAAGATCAACTTGATATATACCTTCTTAGATTAATCACTCTACCATCAATGATTGTCGTATTGGCCCGAATAAGACCTTCTAGGTCTTGTCTGTTTCTACATTCGAACAAGAAATACACAGAAGGAGAATGAGGTCTAGTAAACAGACCAATTGCACTTGAGTTGTAGTTGATAGTCACGAGATCAAGATTAAAATCTGCTGGGGTGGGAATGAGAGGCCCCCCTCGTATATCTTGAAGATGATGATAATTATGAGCATTGGGAGATTCCCTATTATTGCTCATGATTTCGAATCAGAAGAAAGGAGAATAAGACAAAAGCCACTAGAGGGAGAAAATTAAAGGAAAGACAGCCTTAGAGAAGAAGAAAGGACAAGAGAAAAGAATAAGAAGAGTTAAGACAGAGGAATAGTTAAGACAGAAGATACTTTCCTGAAATGAACTCTTGGCATTTATAGCCAAACTAACGTTCTTGGAAGAAAAACAATAAAACGCATGGGGAGCCAACACTGAAGAAACTAGATCCCTAGAGGAATAGCCGCCTCTAGCTATGAAAACTGCACCAATAGAAGAGGTGTAATTACTGCCCTAGAAGAAAAATTTGTGAAAAACGAATAGGAGGCCACTACTGTCTTGGAAGGAAAAGAAATTTACTAAAAAGATTAAGACCTTTTATGGGAAACGAAGAGTTCTAACATAACCAAGAAGATCTCTTTGAAAGAAGAAAAAGGAGGATAAAAATCCCACAGACACAAGGAACTGATTGATCTCCCTCTCACCTAGAGGGCCTATAAGGATATGCAGAAGATAGATGGAGCACACATGAACTCCTTGAAGGAGAAGGCAAACCTTAGCAAAACTAGTGAAACTCACTCTTAGTGAGAGATGCTCTCAAGTTCTAGAGAGAGAAAATCGTGACCACCCAATATAGTTTAATTATCATGAACATAATTATCCTATTTTTATGAGTTAATAAAAGTGATATATTTGGCACTATTGTTATACTAATTAATAAAAAATACATTGGTATTTACAAAAATTAAAATACATTTGCATAATAACATTTAAAAAATAATAATAAATCAATAGTAAAACATGTAGTCAAACTTAATCAATGAATTGAATAATATGAAACTATTTCAATTTTAAAGATACGTATAGTAGTAATTAGTATTTCATCTTTTATTTTATTTTTATTTTTATTCTACTCACTTGCATTTTGCATTCTCTAGCATACATATTTGACTAATTACACTTGTATCGATAATTACTTTTTAAATAAATTAGGAAGTTATGATACTGGAATACCACACATTGAAACAATTCTAACAAGATCACACGAGACGTGATAATCTATTATTGGTGCATAAGTAATAATAAAAGGTCAAAGTTTTTGTAGTATGACCTAATGAATAGTAACTGAGTTAAAGAAACAAAAAAAAAGAAAAATAGTATAGTGTAATAACATGTTGGATTTTTTTTATTATATTCAATGTGAAAGAGTCTAGTACTTAACTTTTTAGTAGAAGAAAATAACGATTAAGTAAAAATAATATAAAATTGTGACCTTATCCTAAACAATACCATTTGCATGTACCCGGTGTACAGTATTTTTACTGTACATCGGGTTTTCGCACGTGCTTTTTTTTTAAAAAAAAAATCGCAGAATTTCAAATACCTAAAAATAAAAAAAACACAGAACAACAATGGAGGAGAGAGAAAGTGAGAAAACGCAGCTATCAATCATCCATTGAGGGGAGAGAAAGTGAGAAATCGCAAAAATTGCAGAAAACGATCATCAATCGAGGAGAAAAAAGGTTAGAAAACGCAAAAATTGTAGAAATCGATCATCAATCGAGGAGAAAAAAGGTGAGAAAACGCACAAATAGAAGAATTCGATCATCAATTAAGGACAAAGAAAGTGAGAAAACTTACAAATTGCAGAATTCGATCATCAATGGAGAATTCAACTTTCGATACAACAAATTGCAGCAATCTCATTCACGAATTGCTACAAAAACAGAGGCAAATTGAGACTGAATTTGAAATCGATTTAAATCGATCGATTATAGAAGAAGAAGAAACTAATTGTTTTGGAGATGAATTCGTACCAATATTCAACAATCCAGACAATGCAGATGAAGCAATCGAAAATGCAGATGAAGCAATTGAGAATGCAGAAGACACAATTCACAATGCAGAAAATCAAGTGGTTCCTGATAAATCAATTGATTCAAATTCAGAACAAACCACCAAATCAGATGCAACTGAAGGTAATTTCTATGAATTTTTGAGATTGTATGCAAAAAGTAACCCTTTGAATACATAATTGTTACCCTTTTCATGCATAAACGTGACCATACTTATGCCTAATTGTTACCCTCAGATTGAATGCAGAACTTTTTAGATTGCATGCAAAAAGTAACCCTTTGAATGCCTAAATGTTACCCTTTTCTTGCTTAAAAGTGACCCTATTTATGCTAAAATGTCACACTCAGATTGTATGCAAAAAGTAACCCTTTGAATTCCTAAATGTTACCTTTTTCATGCATAAAAGTTACCCTATTTATGCTCAAATGTTACACTCAGATTGTATGCTGAAAATTGAGATTGTATGCAAAAAGTAACCCTTTCAATGCCTAAATGTTACCTTTTTCATGCATAAAAGTTACCCTATTTTGAAACGAATGTTACCCTTTTTTTTATGCTGTCTGTGGTTATTATCTGATTTGTTTGTATTAAATAACAGATACAAATCCAATTGATGCTTATGGTTTAGATCTTAGAGGATCATTTGTTGGTGTGGTAAGAGAAACTTTTGAAGAAATTTTGGAATTGTACGAAAAACATGCTGCTATACTGGGGTTTTCAATAAGAAAACATACAACTAGATTCAAACAACACACAAAAATAGTAACTGAGAAAAAACTATGTGTGTTCTGCTGAGGGAAAGAGATATTTAGGTCAGAAGAAAACAAAGTTAGTTGAAATGGTTGATGAAGAGGATGTAAATGTAAAAACAAGAAAGCCAAGACAAGTATCCATTACAAGATCAAATTGCAAGGCATGCATAAGAGAAAAAGTGAATAAAGAAGGACAGTTTGAGGTGGTGGCTCATGTTATTCAGCATAACCACGAGCTAACAAAGCCACAGTGGCATTATTTGCATCGTTCTGAAAGAAAAATGACAGAGGAAAAAGTTGTAACAATGAAATCTTCAGGTCTAACTACAATGGACACTTACAATTACATGGCTACAGAGGCTGGAGGAGAACAGAATATAGGCCATAGTGTTGTAGATCACCTGAATTTCTGCTCAAGGTTAAGAATGGAACAAATTGAGGCTGGAGATGCTCAAACTTTAGTGAACATTTTAAGTCAGGAACAATCAGAGGATCCAAACTTCTTTTTTAGAGTGAAGTTTGACAAAGAAGGAAGAATTTGCAATATCTGTTGGAGAGATTCAATGATTCTAGAAGACTATAGGATATATGGAGATGTTCTTGTCTTTGATACAACATACAGAACCAACAAATATAATCTTATATGTGCTCCATTTGTTGGCATAAATAACCACTGGCATAATTGTATGTTTGCTTGTGCTTTTATTGGGGATGAAACGACAGATTCATTTGTGTGGTTACTACAAACCTTCTTCAAAGCTATGGAGGATAGAAAACCAACTTCAATATTCACTGACCAGGACCAAGCAATGGTAAATTCTATACTAGAGGTAAAAGATTTATATTGACATCTTACAGATTTGAGCTATGACAATAAAGTTTTCCTTTTTCACATAAAGTTACCCTTTTAGCTGCATAAAGTTACCCTTTTTAGTGCATAAAGTAACCCTTTTAACAGCATAAAGTGACCCCTTTATTTTCAATGCAGGTGATTCCTAATACAAGACATAGACTTTGTATATGGCATTTGGAGAAAAATGCCATAACCAGATTTGGAGCTCTTAAAAAAGACAAAGAATTCAAATTTGCATTCAACCAGTGGTTAAAGATGTGTGTGACAGAACAAGAATTCGAAGCAAAGTGGCAAGCAATGTTGCAAAAATATGAGTTGACAGAACACTCTTGGTACAAAAGAGTGTATGAGTTGAAAGACAAATGGTGTCCTGCCCTTTGTAGAGATTTCTTTTCAGCAGGGATCTTATCGTCACAAAGGAGTGAAAGCACTAATCATGCCATAGGATTTAGAGCAAGTAAAGCAACTACTTTGACAGAATTTTATACCATATTTAAGAAGACAACTAATCGTTGGAGAAGCACAGAGAAATATGATGAGTTTACTTGTAGAAAGTCAATAGCATTCACTTCACTGCCTCTATCTGGAATGCTAAAGCATGCCGTACAGGTAAAAAGTTAACTGACAATACATAAATTACACCTAATATATGGCAATTTAAATGAAGCTGCATGATTTTGATGTACAGGTTTTCACTTTATCACTCTTTAGAAATTTTGAAGAGGAGTTTGGATACTCTATGGCAACAACTGTTCAGATGTTAGGCAGTAATGAAGAATGCCTACTTTATCAAGTAACACTAGAAGACAAGCCATGGTCTGCACATCAAGTAAATTATATACAAGAGAGCCAAACTGTATGGTGTACTTGCAAAAACTTTAAAGCATCTGGATGGTTATGTTATCATTGCATCAGAATTCTACATTTGCATTCAGTAACAAGAATACCAGACAAGTATGTTTCAAAAAGATGGACTAAGTTTGCAAAAACAGAGGCATGGGATAGGTTGAAGAATCAGGATCCTAAACAGCAATATATTCCATGGAGGCAAACAATGATGAGGAAATACTACAATCTAATCTTAAAAAGTCAAGAAAATGAAGAGACAAGAGCATTTATGGAAGAAAGCTTCAGAAACAGTCTTAAAATGGTGGAAGACTTACTTGCTAGTGTTGCTCAGAAAGAAAGTGCAGAAGCTGCTTCTAACATTCCTGATGTGGCAGACAACACTCAAAGCAATACTGACGCTTCTTCAGCATCGAGTACAAGCACATGTGTACCAATAATTCTTGATCCTAAAAGGGCTGTAACAAAAGGAAGAAGCAAGAGAGCAAAAGGAGGACTTGAAAAAAGCAAGAGAAAAAGAAAACCAGCACTGCCACCTCCAAATTCAGAATTTGGATCAAAGACACCTAACTTACGACTCTTTTAAGATCTTTTTTAGAACATTTTTTTTTCGAAATTAATATACCTTGTATTGTTAAACTATTTTTCTTTTGTTTTTTTTACTCTGTGACTAGTTTAATGAAAATGTGATTGACACTTTTATTAGCACATGTTTAATTATTGGAACACATCAACTTATGTTACCCTTTTAACGTATAAAAGTAACCCTTTTTATGCATAAAAGTAACCCTTTTCATGCATAAAAGTGACCCTTTTCATGCATAAAAGTTATCCTTTCTATCCACTAAATCAACCTTTTCTTTGGCAATAGTTACCCTTTCTGTTAATAAAAGTTAACCCTTTTATCAATAAAAGTTACCCTTTCCATGCATAAAAGTTACACTATCTACCCACAAAAGTATACCTTATCATGTATAAACTTATTATTTCTACCCACAAAAGTAACCCTTTTTATGCTACAAAGTAAACCTTTTTATGCATGAAAGTGACCCTTTTCATGCATAAAAGTTATCGTTTCTATCCACTAAATCAACCTTTTCTTTTCTAATAGTTACCCTTTCTGTTAATAAAAGTTACCCTTTTTATCACTAAAAGTTATCCTTTTCATGCATAAAACCCCTGACCCTTTTATTTTACAGAAAAAAGTGTCCCTTTTCATGAATAGAAGTGACCCTTTTTCTACATAAAAGTGACCCTTTTCATTGCTAAAATTACCATTTCTAACAATAAAATCTACCTTTTTCTTGCTTAAAAGTTACCCTTTCTATAAATAAAAGTTACCTTTTCTATAAATAAAAGTTACCCTTTTCTGCATAAAAGTTACCCCATAAAAAACATAAAAATAAACCTTTTAATTACTTTATGTATTCACATACATCAATATTCCAAAAACAACTAAAGAATTTAAACTAAGTTTAATTACATCATTAAACTTAATGTATGCACATACATTAAGTTTTTTCATTGTTAAAAAAATCCCTTGAACTAATCAGCTAACAACTATCAATTATTTCACTATTTAGAAGGAGTAAACTTTTTTGCCTGCTTTTTTGCCCTTTTTCCTTTGTTCTTTTCCTCTTCTCCCTCTCCCTCTGCCTTTGCTTTTGCTTCTGCTGCCATTTTTCTTTCTTCTGTTTCTCTCTTCTTCTTTGCAGCAATTGCAGCCTTTAATCTTTCTTCAATTTCATTGACATAAGAAGGATCTTTCTTCTTCTCATTGAACTTGTGTAATTCTAACAACACATCGTTCCTAGATTCATTCAAATCACACAGTACCAGTGTGGTACAGATCTCTCCTTGTAAAAATTTCCTTCCATTAATCTCAAAACAGCAAAAAAAATAAAAATTATCAATATGTAATTAATAAAAGCAATAGAAAGGAAAAAACTACAGAAACTATATAGATAATTACTGTTTCGAGATCATTGAATTTGAACTATTCACCAACAAAATGGAGCATGTGATACATGACAAAGACCCCACAATCCAAATTGTCAACTTTTTCTTTTCTCCATTCCAACTCAACAACTTCAAAACCATAAGAAGGTAGCTGAGAACTCTTTGGATGATTTCTTTTGCTAAGAAAAGCACCCATTTGAACACACTGACATAAAATATAAAAGTTTAGAATACATTAAAATAAAAAAAGTTAAAATGGAAACAATGAATCAACAGTAACATAACAAAAAAAACAAACATAAACATACCATCTTTGAACACAATTCTTTTGTATAAACAAGAGCAGAATCAGTCCAGATAATGTTGTCAAGATAATATACCAACTCTTTTGTATGATCAATAACATACAAAATGTAGTGATTCTCAATAAGAACAGGAAAATAGATCTGAAACAGCAAAATTAAAGAGATTTAAACAGAGCATATCATAAAGAGAACTCTTTTAAATTTATTACATTAAGTTTAGAATAAAAATACCAGATCAGCATCCATTATATTATATTCTGGATTCTCATAGCTAACCCAACCTTCCCATATGTCGTGCAAATCCTTAACAGCACTAGATATGTTACCTTTCCCAATATTGTCACAAACATGCAAGAATGAAAACTATTAAAGTATAAGATCTCAATAATATATATATAAAGTAAATGTGTTAAGATATAAAAAAAGGAATGAAATAACTTACACTCTGCCTAACACTGAAGAAGAATTTCCGAGGACCAGTAGCTTGAAAACATGCTTTCTCATTCAAATACAGACAGAAGCAATCAATAACGCACCATCGAATCCTAAGTGGAGCAACAAGGGACACCATGTCTTCTCTTGGAATTAAAAAGTTCATTCCAAAAGTAACAAGGCTCTCACTTAAACAATAAAAAATAAGATCAACATTAAAAAAAAAATATAAGAAAAAAAACAGATAAAAAAATAATTATAATAAAAAAGGACACTTAACTTCTTATCCATTGAAACATCCTTCAGCAAACAATAATCGAGAATTTCCAAATGTAACTGAGGCAAATTCTTGAAAATCTGAGCATTGCTCTTTACAAAAAGAGTTACAAAAGGCACCTGCACACCTGCACACCTACATGTCCACAGTCCAGAGAGCATAAAGATTTATTTGCTCTGAGTCGAGGAGGTTCATTTTGATCAATATGCCCGACAGGAATATTTTGAGTAGGACCAAGAATGATAGCAGAAGGTCCAGAACCATTAAGACCTTAATTAACTACTTTTCCATGACCATTGTCATCATCCTTAGGAATATTTTCATTGAAACCTTGTGCAGGTTCTTTTTCAGGAACAAAATCTTTGTTACCTTCTGTAGGTTCATAAAATCCGCGAAACATATCATGTACAAACTTCATTTTATTACACTCATCAATTAAACCATCTAAAATCTTCAAATAATGAGGATCAGAGAGTAGAAGTTCAGTTTGAGAAACTGAAACAAAATCATCAGAAGATAATGAAACACTTCTGCGAGAAGTAATCAGATCATTCAAGGTTTGAAAACCAGTTGACTGAACAAATAATAAATCATCCATATTTCTTTTAAACAAAAGAAACGTTTCATGAACAACCTACAAACATATAAACAATGAAAAAAAAATGTTACAAATAAAAATAATAAAATAAGTAGGAAATCTAAATATATGCTAAAAGTGACCCTTTTAAATGCATAAACTGACCCTTTTAAATGAAAAAAGTTACCCTTTTGTATGAATAAAGTAACCCTTTTAACTTAATATTGAAGATAATTTTAATGCAACTAAAGGGTAACTTCGGTGCAAATAAAGGGTAACTTTGGTATACAAAAAGGGTAACTTTTGTACACAAAAGGGTAACTATTGTACACAAAACGGTAACTTTTGTACACAAAAAAGGGTAACTTTTGTACACAAAAAGGGTAACTTTTGTACACAAAAGGATAACTTTTGTAAACAAAAAGCAATAATAACTAAACATATAAAAAAACAGAACACTTACATCAGTTGAAATTTTTTTAATTTCTTCATCGGTCATAATACCTTCTGGAAGCTCAAATGCAACAATGCGACCAGTGGTACCACTTGTAGAAGGACCCTTATCATAACCCAAAGTAGGAGCTGGCTTAAAAACAGTTCCCCTAAAATTAAGCTGTGACACAGGATATGTAATAGTATCCAATGGTCCCTGCCCATAACCACCAGCTTTGATCTCTAACTTAATTCGCTTCTTAATCTTTACATCCGTCCAATGTTGAATTAAAGGAAGAGTACTACTTTCCTTTTCACCTTGAAAATTTAGACGATGAAAATACATAATTTGCAAAGCCAGCAAACAACCACTAACATTTTGAGCATTTTCATCATCCTTATACTTCTGAACAGCCTTCTTTAACTTTTTTAAAACATATGAGCACCAATCAAAAGTTTTAATTTCATCAACTTTTTCAACAGCTTTCAGCAACTTCAATGAAACAGTCCTATTAGTAGTAGGAGCTAAAAAGCTAGACATAGCTTGAAGAACAAAACACCTCTTAAATTCTTCCCCTCCATCAACCAAATCAACCATCCTAGACTCCAATTTTGACAAATGAAGAGGTCGCTTACCAGAAAGACCATAATCAGATCTCCATGCCTGAATGATACGTTTATCTACACTTTCATCTTCAGAATTTTTATTAAGTTCAGGAACACAAATATCACTCAAAGGCAAGCAAAACACATCGCATATATCATTTCTAGTAACAACAAATTCTTTACCAGTAGCGATGGTAAACATGCAACTACCAGCATTGAAGTTTTCAACAAGCCAAGGTAGCATTTGACGATTAAGAGTTTTCAATTTAAGATGTAATAAACCTCCAAAACCAATTTCTTCAACAACCTGTTTTTGCTTAGGACTAAAGTTCTCCAGCAATATTTCCAATGAATAGGGTCTACATCTTGCAATGATTCTTCTTTGCTCCCTAAATAGAAAAAAAAAAAGTTAGAAAATGTAACTAAAACAATATAAAATAAAAACAAAATATAATTAAAAATGTAATAAAAAAATATGTATACTTACATAAAAGATTCAGAATCAGATTCAGAAAGCATTTCATAATCAGAATCTTCCACTGTATTAGCTTTCTTAGGTACAATTTTGGCCTTCTTAGGAACTATTTTGGCCTTCTCAGACTCTGGTTTGTCACTCTCAGGAATTTTCTCATCCTTTTTAGATACTGCTTTGCTCTTCTCAGGAGCTATCTAGGTCTTTTTTGGTACTGGTTTAGGCTTAGCAGGCTCTTTAGGCTTTCCTTTTCCTTTTGTAGGCTTTTTATAACGATAACCACCTATTGAACCACCTGTATTTAATTATTAAAGTAATATAAATACAAATTCAGAAATTACTCATGGAAAAATATAGAATAATGTGCACAAATGACACTTTTAAATGCATAAAGTGACCCTTTTAACAGCACAAAGTAACCCTTTTAACAGCACAAAGTGACCCTTTTAACATCACAAAGTGACCCTTTTAACATTATAAAGTGACCCTTTTAACAGCATAAAGTGACCCTTTTAACAGCATAAAG